AAGAGTCACATGCTCCTCTGACTGAGGCAGCCAGGTGCTCCTGTGATCCATTTTTAGTTCATTTTTGTATAAGGTGTGAGACTTAGGTCAAGGTTTATTTAACTTGTTAATATGGTAGATTGCATTGATTGATTTTTGAATACTGAATTAGTTTTGCACCCTGGAATAACCTTTGTTCATGGAATATTATTCTTTTTATATATTACTGATTTCTATTTGCTAATATTTTGTTAAGGATTTTTGCAGCTATGTTCATGAAAAATATTAATGTGTAGTTTTCTTTTTCTGTAGTGGTTTTGGTTTTGGTATCAAGATAATATTGGCTTCATAAAATAAATTGCACAGTGTTTCCTCATATTCTCTGGGAGAGATTCTGTAGAGTTGGTGATAGTTCTTTAAACATTTAATTCTCTATAAAACCATTTGGGACTGGAGATTAATTCTTTGGGAGTTTTAAAATTAAAGATTCAATTGTGTTAATAGTTATGGGGCTATTCACATGATGTATTTCATACTGGGTGAGTTGTGGGAGTTTGTGTTTTTAAGACTTGGGTCTTAACTTTCTCTTTTGGTTGGCTTTTTATGACCTTGCTCTGGCAGGGGAGGAGGGGTTTGCTGCACAGTACTGTCAGGTAGATGTAGAACTCTAGGGTCTCCACTTGATCTCTGTTGACACCCAAAGGGTGATGGTCTTCTTGTTACTTCTGGACCACAGTGGGAGTTCTGTCTCCCCTTATCTAGTGGTGGGGGTGGCCTAGTTACTACTGGATGATGATTAAAGTCTTGACTGTATACTAGGACTCTTCTGACACCATTACACTGTGGAGGGGAAGAGGCACCTTATTACAGCCAGCAGAAGGTGGCTTCTGCAGTAGGCTTTCTAACTTGGCCTTTGCTGGTATGGATGGGAGCAGAGCTACAGTGTGTGTGTGTGTGTGTGTAAATGTTTGCCTGGAGTAGAGCAGTCATTGTCTAAAAGCTTTCTTGCTAGGCTGCCACTCTCCTAATTTTTTTGGTTAGAGAGAACAGGCTTTTTTTTTTTTTTTTTTTTTTTTTTTTTTTGCAGTGAGACAGGAGAGGGCATGTTTTTGTACATACTCGTTGATGTTTCCATGTTGGTTTCTTCAGCTACAGGTCTAGAATACGTGAGGGAAAAAGAAAATCCAGGGAAGTCACAACTAGGTTATTCCTCAGGTCCTGAATTCTCTAACCACTCTGCCTTATTCTTTCCACCTTTCAGAGTCTTATGTTATTTTGTATATAATATCCAGGGTTAGTTGTTTTCAGTGGAGGAATAGGGAAAAGTTTGTCTATTCCCATTCTTCTGGAAGCCTAAGTAAGAATTCATTTTGAATATGTTAATTTGAAAGTCAGACATCCAAGAGGAGATGTCAAGTAGCGGTTGGATTTATAAGTCTAGAGTTCTGGTAGTTCATGTAAATTTTCTTCTCATGGCTTCCTTTTTCTCAGAGCAGTTAGGAAGTAATGCCATCCGTTGAAAATGAGGACAACAGAGAAGGTGTTTTTGAGAACAGAGGAGCTTGTGAATGGAGTGGTCTCCTAAGGGAGTGGGAGGCTAAATGGACTAGAAATATACAGTATAATTGCCAGCAACATTACATGTACACCTGAATCTTTGGCATTGGATTTAAAATGAAATAAAAATGGTGACATGATTGTGTATTTATTTCCAGCCGTGTTTAGCTGCTTGGTGTAGATGGGGAGTAGTCAGAGAGTTTGATTGAACTTGGGATGTAGCCTTGCCAAGTGAATGGGACAGCGTGAGCAAGGGGGAAGGGGATTGGTGGTGTACATAGGGGAGGGTTCATGGCTGACTACAAAATTGAATCTTGGTAAAGAGAAAGGACCAGGGTATTGGGCAAGGATGGGATGGTGGTCATGGGGGACTGAAAAGATGGTGGGATCAGAGAATTGTAGGTCCTTTTGGACTATGAAGGCAAGGGAATGAATTAGGATAGGTGGTCATGTCAGCAAGTAGGTTGCGTGCAGTTGAGATTATGGAAGAGTTGTGATGATAGTGACCATGGTTTGATAAGTTAAGGTTTGATAAGTCTGATAAGATAAGGGGAAGGTCTGGCTTATCAGAAGAGAGGTCAAGGATTTTGAATTCAAGACAGGAGCACTTGGGTAGAATGAACTGATTTTAGCCAGGAGCTAAAATCATTGAGAATAGGAACCTTTGATGGACAAAGGTTATTGGGTTATAGCTGATGATGGGAGAATCAAGGCTGGTGCATTTAAGGGGGGGGGATGTGAAAATGGTTTGGAAGGGCCCTTCTGCCCCCCACTCCCGCCCACCCCAGAATACTTTCCCCTCTTCCAAAGCCAGTGGTGCGAGGATGTGGGTGAATAAACAAATGTTAATTAAAAGGACTTAAGGGAAATTGTATCTTTAAGGGAGAGCAGTTTTCAGTTATAAAAAGAAAGTAAGGGATAAAAGAAGGGATTTGCTGATAGCTCACTGAATTCCAGAGTGCACAGTGGATCTGTTTCTGGACATGGAAAGGGGTGGGAGGTGGGGATAATTACAGTCATTTGCACTCCTATCAGCTTGTGTCCTTTAAATATACATGATTGTTCTATTTTAAAGTATATGTGCTGCTGAAATGAGCACTATATATGATTATTCTAAAAGTCACATATAGAAAAACAATTTTTTAAAAAGTGAAGGTTAGTTAGTTGGCTCCCAGCTTTAAAAAAAATTAGCTTTTGAGGTGCCTGGGTGGCTCAGTGACTGCCTTTGGCTCAGGTCATGATACTGGAGTCCCGGGATCAAGTCCCGGAGTCTGCCTTTCCCATTGACCTTTCTCCACTCATGCTCTCTCTCTCTCTCATTCTCTCTGTCTCTCAAATAAATAAATAAAATCTTTTAAAAAATTAGCTTTTAAATCATATTTTCCCTAACTTCGACAGGAAAGTTAAATATACCAGAGAAATAGTAATTTGTAAATGCAAATATAAGAAGTCTTTTAAAATTCTTGTTTTCTGACTACTGTACTCAATTGTAGGCCCTCTTTCTTTGTTTTCTTCTAATGGAAAGTTTCAAGGAGCCAACTGTTGAAAATACTTTAAGGCAGTTTTACTAATTTACTAAATTTTTTTAACCAATTTACTAATTATTTTTTCTAAGAGATTCCAGTCAGTCTCATTGAAACTAGCCATTTTTTCTATACAAAAGAGTTGTCAACTATGGTACACAAACCAGAGTGTATTCATGTATTCAAGTATTACATGTTTGAACAAAGAGTGGTCTGTTAGGTTGTTGATTTACATGCATGCACATGTTTGTGAAAGCCCAGGAATGATTTGGTTTAATCTTATCCCTATAAAATATTTTACTTTAATTTGATAGGCTTTAAAATAGTATCTTTGTGTTTTTAGATCTCATGCGACAGTTCATCTTTAAAAAAAAAAAGATTTATATACTTAGAGAGAGAGAGAGAGAGAGAGCATGAATTGGGGAAGGGCAGAAGGAGAAGGAGAGTCTTAAGTAGACTCTGCTAAATGTGGAGCCCAACACAGGCTTGACCTCACGATGCTGAGATCATGAGCCAAAATCTCAGCTGAGATGCTGAGCCAAAATCAAGTTAGATTCTTGACTGACTACACTACCCAGGTGCCCCAGACATTTTTTTTTTTTTTACAAGTATAATGGGTATTCTTGAAGCTTTTCAACAGATACTACATTAGATTGTATATTAGAAACACTGTTAAATTTCAGCAGGGATTCTTCTGAACTTTTGGTGTATAGAGGTACTTCCGTAAATAATTTAAACTACTTTAGTAAACCATACTGAGTGGGTGGGAGCATAGGGAAATAAGAGCTTGTACGTATTTGGTGTCATTCCCATTCTGGATTGCCTTACCCAATCTTTAAAATAGTCTAGTTCAGGGTGCCTGGGTGGCTTAGTGGGTTAAAGCCTCTGCCTTTCCACTCAGGTCATGATCTCAGGGTGCTGGGATCAAGCCCTGCATCGGGCTCTCTGCTCAGCAGAGAGCCTGCTTCCTCCTCTCTCTGCCTGCCTCTCTGCCTACTTGTGATCTCTGTCTGTCAAATAAATAAATAAAATCTTAAAAAAAATAAAATAGTCTAGTTCACACTTAGTTTTCAAGTTTCTAATCCAATTTCCATTTCTTCCCCTTGAGTTTTCACTTTCTTCTTCCTAAGAGTACCTAAAAGAAAGAAAGGAAGGAAGGAAGAAAGGAAGTTGGTCTTCAGGTTCTAGTATCCCTTAGAAATGCTGATTACAGCTTGCTTATAGCTCCTCTTAAATTTGTTGTATTGTATTGAAAATATTTAGGTTCACATTTTTTAGAAAGATTTTATTTATTTATTTGAGAGAGAGAGAGAGAGAGAGAAAGAAAGCACAAGCAGGGCGAGCGTCAGAGGTAGTGGGAGAAGCAGACTCCCTGCTAAGCAGAGAGCCAGACTCAGGGCTTTATCCCCGGACTCTGGGATCATGACCTCAGCCAAAAGGCAGATGCCTGACTGATTGAGCCACCTAGGCACCCGATAGGTTCACATTCTGTATCTAGTTTGTGACCTGCTTGAGCCAGGATCGGCCACCAGTCTTTCTGTTCTGGAGATGGGGGGCAGTCTGCGCAAGGGTTATTGAAGTCCAGCCCCTTTTTGAAATGAAAACAGAGGGGATGGATAAGAAAGAGCTTTGTGTGAATTTTACCATTGTGACCCAAAGTTACCCCATCTGTTCTTTCCTTTTTCTTTTGATGACAGGCTGTGTAATGTAGTAGGTCTTTTACAGTGCTAAACTTGTTACTTTCTGGCTAAAGAGTTATTACCTAATGAATATTTGACTAAGAAGACATGTAACTGATTGCTGGCCATTGAGACTTATTAACAAATTCTCAAGGGAAAGGAATTTGGCAAAGAGAAATGCTTAGTGAAAAATTTAGGTAAATATGCTTGTAGCCTGGTGGAGATGAAGTTGGAGCTTTCAGTTTAATATTCTTTATTCTAGCTCAACCACAAACTGATTTGCCGGGCCACACTGTACCTCAGCAAGATGTTTCTGCTCCAAATATGAGTGCTTTAACACATGAAAACCAAACCAACCTTTCTGTCTTCCAAATCAGCACCACTCTCCGACCCACAGCTAGTACAGAGAAAGGTGGAGGGGCATCTGTAGCCCCTCATCCCTCACCTACTACTTCTCTGTCTCAAGAGGAAACAGATAACAATGAAGATCCCAGCATAGAGGAGGAGGATCTTCTCACACTCAATAGTTCTCCGTCCACTGCCAAAGACACTCTGGACAATGGAGACTATGGAGAACCAGACTATGACTGGACCACCAGCCCCAGGGATGAGGAGTCGAGTGAGGCTCTGGAAGAAAACAGGAACTACATGGAAATTGAACAGTCAGTGAGATCTTTTAAGACCCCATCCTCAAATATTGAAGAGGAAGATAGCCATTTCTTTTTTCATCTTATTATTTTTGCTTTTTGTATTGCTGTTGTTTACATTACATATCACAACAAAAGGAAGGTATGTTTGGGGTTTTCATCCCCTCTAATTGCCCTTTATTATCTCAGTCCTATTTCTTATTAATGTTTTGATAATTCAGATTTTTTTTCTTTTTCAGTCAAGTTTAAATTGATGGTAAAATTTCAAGATGTCTGATCAGTTTATAAACTTGTGGTATATTTTAGCAAATTACAGACAGATTGCTTTACCTTGTGTGCTTCTAAAAAAAGAAGTAGAATTGTTTTTTAATGAGCAAAACCAAAGCCTAGTGGTTTTTGAAAAAGAGATATTACATCTTAAGTTACCATTTTTACTTCAGTAGGAATATTTATGGAGAAAGTTTTTTTTTTTTTTAAGATTTTATTTATTTATTTGACAGAGACACAGTGAGAGAGGGAACACAAGCAGGGCGAGTGCAAGAGGGAGAAGCAGGCTTCCTGCCAAACAGGAAGCCTGACATGGGGCTCGATCCCAGGACCCTGGGATCATGACCTGAGTCGAAGGCAGATGCTTAATGACTGAGTCCCCCAGGTGCTCCAGAAAGATTGTTAATTTAATACTTCTAATTAAGTAAGCATTGAACTTAATAGTATTTAATAATTTTTTTTCCCCTGGCTATAAAATCATTACATATTTATTTTGAGTGCCAGTGATACTCTATCCCAGTGTTGAAACATTGGGCCCTATCTGTTCTAAACATCTAAGGGACTTTTAAATAGGCAGGCTCCTGGGCTCCACTGTGGTTTTCTAATTCATTTCTATAGATAGAATCCAGAATCAGTCTTCAGCAAGCACTCTGTACATTAAAATTTGAGTAGCTCTGTTTTTGTTTACAAGAGGGAAAATAAAGCCCTTTTTTTTTTTTTTAAGATTTTTTATTTATTTATTTGACAGACAAGTAGGCAGAGAGGCAGACAGAGACAGAGAGGAGGAAGCAGGCTCCCTGCTGAGCAGAGAGCCCCATGTGGGGCTTGATCCCAGGACCCTGGGATCATGACCTGAGCCGAAGGCAGAAGGCTTTAACCCACTGAGCCACCCAGGCGCCCCTACAAGAGGGAAAATAAAGCCCTTTTGTTATTGTTTTTTTACTTTTTGAATTTGGGAACCTAGGCTTGTATAAAACCTTTTTATACTTGTTATACTTTTAGCATATCCTCTATTTTCTTTTTGGCATATCTAATTTATTTTATTTTATTTTTTTTCCAGATTTTCCTTCTGGTTCAAAGCAGAAAATGGCGTGATAGTCTTTGTTCCAAAACAGTGGAATATCATCGTCTAGACCAGAATGTTAATGAGGCCATGCCTTCTCTGAAGATTACCAATGATTATATTTTTTAAAGCACTGTGATTTGAGTTGGCTTATTATGTAATTTTATTTGCTTGACTTTTTTATATAATATTGTGCAGATGTTTTGCCATAGGCAATTGGTACTTAAATGAGAGATGGGGGTCTCTCTTTATTTTGCCTTGGTGCTTTGGAAATGAAATGTCACAAACAAGGAGCATATAATTTTTTATCTACACTTTTGGAGGTAAATTTAATCAGGTGTCCAGAATGTGGAGCTAAGCGTTCTCTGTTAGTTTTGTTTTGGATTTCTTTATTGTGCTTCTTCTGGAAGTATTAGTAATGCTAGTTTAAAAGATCCTAGCCTTCAACTAAATCCTAACATTATCTGGAACTGCTGGCTCAGATTCTCTTTCTGCCATCCAAGTACTATTTTTTTTAGCACACATTTTGTGCTCCCAAACTGTAATCTACAAGGATGTGTGTAATAGTGCTTGGCATATAAGTATCATTTTTTCTTTCAGGAAAATTGATTTGCATATTTTTGGATAATTTAAACATAATTTAAGATAATGATATTGCTCAATCCGACCGCAATTTTAGGCAACACATTAATAAATGTCTCTAGAAATTCTGGCAATAGAGAGACTCTGCGGTTTGCAGTGGACATAGATAAAATGTTCCAGAGATACTATATTTGGCTTGAATTACTGAATTAAATTTAGAGGTAGAAATTGTGGCAAAATATTAAATACACATACAATTGCTTTTAGTTAGCAATTGATTGTAGCACGGGTTCCTCCAAGCTTTCAAGTAAGGAGTAGAGTTTGGAATTGTATCAGATTTGTTCACTTTGTTTATTACTTTATAGTAAGTTTGAATAAATCTTAGGGGCCATTATCACTTAAATAACATTGTGTCTAGGCCTTTCAATTTAAAATTATACCTGAATGAAGTTGTTTGTATACCTAAAGGATATATGTGTACACTGACTTTTTCTCCCCCGTACTTGTTTTATTTTCTTCTGTTTTGTTTTTCACAGCAACTGGAAATTATTTGCTGTATTTCATTTTAGCCTGCCTTTATATAATAAAGAGTTGATCAGTATGTAAATATGTGATTTGAACCATGGTTGACTTACAAATGTCACTGCAACTTTTTAGAAAACATAACCCTTACTATATGTTGAACACTTGTTCAGAAAGCCCAGGCGAGCCAGTGGGCATGTGCTTTGTGTGAAGATGGAAGAAGTAGGGCAGTCCACCATTTCTTTCAGGTGGACAATTTACTGTCCTGATAAGGAAGGGGAGCAGAGTGGAAATACACCTGAACTGTTTTATTGCAGTAATTTTTCATATCTGAAATTGTATTATTTAATATTTTGAATAAGATTTTAAAAATAAATGGCAAAGATATAAATCTATGATATTACAAATGTGTTTCATTTTAATGATGGCATGGAGTCCTTCCTTTGGGTGGTGACAGGGGTCATGCTTTGTTTGGGAGGAAGCTAAACTCACCAGCTTGTTTTTGTTCCTTTTAGCAGTAGTACTCTGCCTCTTGGAATCCTCTTAGATTTCAAATTCTAGTTTAGGTCCAGTTTTCTGCTAGGTACTGAAGTTTATTGAAAACTGGCAAAGTAGGATTGCAAAGAAAAGTAAAGCAGCTAAATCAGTGTATAGTTTCTGGTGTTCTGGCCTCCTTGTTGTCTCCCTGTTGAAGGTTCCCGTCAGGAAGCTCATACCCACTTAGTGGATCTAGGGTTCTTGGGCTTTTCCTGATGGCACAGTCTTTGCATTCCATGCCCCAGTGCTGCAGTCAAGTAGTCTTTGACTTTGAGCATCACATCATCCACTGAGTAAACGTGCTGCCACTGGGATGCCTGACGGCTCAGTTGGCAGAGCATCCGACTCTTGATTTTGGGGTTGTGAGTTTGAGCCCTGTGTTGGATGTGGAGATTACTTAAAAAACATAAATCTTACTTTTTTTTCCAAAGATTTTATTTGACAGAGAGAGAGATCGCAAGCAGGCAGAGAGGCAGGCAGAGAGGAGGAAGCAGGTTCCCCGCTGAGCAGAGAGCCGGATGAGGGACTCGGTCCCAGGACCTGAGATCATGACCTGAGCCGAAGGCAGAGGCCCTAGCCCACTGAGCCAACCAGGTGCCCCATAAATCTTATTTTTAAAAAAGATTTTATTTAGGGGTGCCTGGGTGGCTCAGTGGGTTAAGCCTCTGCCTTCAGCTCAGGTCATGATCTCAGGGTCCTGGGATCGAGTCCCGCATTGGGCTCTCTGCTCAGCGGGGAGCCTGCTTCCCTCCTCTCTCTGCCTGCCTTTCTACCTACTTTTGATCTCTCTCTCTCTCTCTGTCAAATTAATAAATAAAATCTTTAAAAAAATAAAGAATTTATTTGAGAGAGAGAGCGTACACAGTGGGGGGAGGGAGAGAGAGAATCTCTCGCAGACTCCCTGCTGAGCAGGGAGCTCAATGTGGGGCTCGACTGGAGGATCCTGGCATCATGACCTGAGCTGAAGGCAGATGCTTAACTGACTGAGCCACCCAGGTGCTCCTAAAAAACATAAAAAAAAAAAGCTGCCCAAGTCTTAACAATGGCACCTGTACTTCTGGGTTATAAATACGTATATAATTCAGATAGGTGTAGATTATAATTTTTGGGTGAATTTGATGTCAGAGTTTTGTATCTTGCTTTTTACCTCACAAATAATGAATATTTTCCATATCATTAATATTCCTTAAAAACATTTAATAGCTACTTTATTTAGCTATTTTCCTGTTGAATATTTAGGTGGTTTCCAATTCTTGGTTCTATTTCTATGTGATGAACATTTCTTTTTGGAATCAGTTGGGTTACAGGAGGCAGAGGAGGCATATGTAGGACTGGATGGCACAAAGGAGACCCATGCTTGAGTCTTCCAGTACCAGTGTCACCAACATAGGTGTGCTGTGTGCTCCCTTCTCTCAGTGTCACATCCTGGGTAGACGAGGCACACTGCACCAAATGTGGGAACTAGTGGCATAGGAGATTACCCTTTGGTTCTGTTTCTGTATCTTACCTGAAAGGAATGCTTTGAAACTGGTGAGGCAAACACAAACAGACATTTTGAGTTTGTGGAGGCAGGAATGTCTTGACTGGAGTTTTGATTTTAAATGTGATCTCATGAGGGTGAGTGCAGTCTCCTTAGAATGTGTGCAGGGGGTGGCCCTCTATAGCTTGCCCCAGAATGTAAGCTAGAGAAAGGAAGACTGGCTCTGACTCATCTCTGGCCCCATATTCAGCCCTGCCTGGCTCCTACTAGGCCTCTTGAAATTGTTCACTGATGTGTTTGTGAAATTAGGGAGGAAGGAAATCAAGACAAATGACGCTCAGCACCGGCTCACGTCGTTGGCATAGGGTCTAATAATGCTACTGAGACTGGGGACCCAGAACTGCACGCAGTGGGGGAGAACCAAGATGTGGTGTGTCTGCTTTATCCAAACAGCCCATGGCCTATCCATGTTATCACAAAAGGCAGGGGTTCCTTCGCTCTTACTTTTTCTCTCTCTTCTTTTTATGGTTAAATATATCTCCACAGTATGTTTATGTGTGTGTGTGTGTACCATATTTTCTTCACCCATCTATCAACGATGGACGTCTAGGTTGTTTCTTTGTCTTGGTCACCGTGAGAAAAACTGCAGCAAATCTGGGGTGCAGGTATCTCCTTGATCCGGTGATCTCATTTTTTTCAGATACATAACTGAAGTGGAACTGCTAGATCGCATGATAGTTATTCTGGTTTTTTTTTTTTTTTTTTGTTAAAGATTTTATTTATTTATTTGACAGAGAGAGATCACAAGTAGGCAGGCAGGCAGAGAGAGAGAAGGGAGGAACAGGCTCCCTGCTGAGCAGAAAGCCCGATGTGGGACTCGATCCCAGGACCCTGAGATCATGACCTGAGTTGAAGGCAGAGGCTTAACCCACTGAACCACCCAGGTGCCTGGTAGTTATTCTTTAAGTCTTTTAAGGAGCCTCCACACTGTTTCCCACAGTAGCCGCTCCAGTCTACATTCCTACATTCCTCCTTGCTTTGTCCCAAGCTAACTACTTTCATAGTATTGTGTATAAGATTAATTACACCACACCATATTTTATTTTATTTTTTAAAAGATTTTATTTATTTATTTGTTAGAGAGTGTGTGAGCACAGGCAGACAGAGTGGTAGGCAGAGGCAGAGGGAGAAGCAGGCTCCCTGCCGAGCAAGGAGCCTGATGTGGGACTCGATCCCAGGACACTGGGATCATGACCTGAGCTGAAGGCAGCCCCTTAACCAACTGAGCCACCCAGGTGTCCCACCACACCATACTTTAATATTTAATTCCCTGTTTGTTTCTCTAATTACACGGAATGACTCGAAGGAAAAAATATCTATTATGTTTCTAATAGTAATTGGCATATACTAGGTTCTTAATAAATGAAAGTTCTTTTGAGGTGCCCGGGTGGCTCAGTTGATTAAGCGTTTGCCTTCGGCTCAGGTCATGATCGCATGGTCCTGGGATCCAGTCCAGCATCCAGCTCCTTGCTCAGCGGGGAGGCTACTTCTCTTTCTGCCACTCCCTCTGCTCATGTACTCTCTGTCTCTCAGGAAAAAAAGAAAAAATCTTAAAAAAAAAAACCCAAAAAACGTTCTTTTGAAATCTCCGTTTTCCTTACCTCCCCCATAGTATATAATTAGCCACCTCTCACAAACCCGGTGCAGCAGCACTTTCTGCCGACGGGTCCTGTCCCCATGCTTTAATAAAACCACCTTTTTGCAGCAAAGACGTCCCAAGAATTTTTTTCTAGGTCATCCTTGGCTCTGACCTCACCCCACTGAACCTCACCTATGTTCCAAAACCACACCACTGGGACTGCCTTCCCAGCTCCCTTGAGGCATGCAGCTTACCAGCTGGGTTTACCCCAAATCATCCAGGCATCTGCTAGGTGACATTTGGGGCTTCCTTGGAACCTCCAACCCCATTCCCAGTTCTCTATCGTCATCCTTTCCCTGCAATGAGGCCAGAGGATCCTTGCCACACTGCCCTGGCTGTTCCCAAGAACTTTTGCCTAGAGGCAGTGGGACCCAGGACCCCAGAGAGCTCAGGGCACTTAGCATGCCTGAGCTAGGACCTACACAGGGCTTAGGGGCCAAGTTTCTCTCTCAGGTGTCCTCTTTCTGCCTTTACCAGAGCATTGGGTTAAAAGCAAAACACCTGAACAGACACTTCTCCAATGAAGACATACAAATGGCTATCAGACACATGAAAAAATGTTCATCATCACTAGCCATCAGGGAGATTCAAATTAAAACCACATTGAGATACCACCTTACACCAGCTAGAATGGCCAAAATTAGCAAGACAGGAAACAACATGTGTTGGAGAGGATGTGGAGAAAGGGGAACCCTCTTACACTGTTGGTGGGAATGCA